AGGCAATGAATATTATTGTGTATAGCAAGAATAAATACACTTGATTTTGATCTCTCCAAATCAAAGAGAAAGCTTTAGCATAAATTTAGGCACTTATACTACATGAAGGACAACAGAAGTACCCGGACACTCCTTTGTACTCATGATGTGGAATCCAGCTCTGGGCAACAGAAGTTGTTCTTGAAGTACCAAGTTTATAGATTCTGAACTTTTATCTGAAAGGAAGACTCTGGAAACTTTTCACTGCAGAAACAGGGAATACATATCTGTATGTAAATATATCTCTTCCCAACCCAGGACTCTCTATCAAGTAATACAGAAAAGCCTGAATTAGATTTCCTTCCACCTGGAGCAACTGATGCCTGACTTCTTGTCTTCTTGCCATAAGGGATGATCCTATAAAAACTGAAACCAATTTAGTTATTTTGATGCAAGTCTGGGCATTTGCTTCAGAATAAGAGTTGTTTAATTCAGTTACTATTACAGCCCAGCACATGCCAATATAAGCATTTTGTTGCACATAATAAAAATAAATAAATATAATCATGCACATGCTTACACACATGCACTTGAAATAGGGCCAAATAAAGACTCTTTAACTTTCCTGAGATATTTATCTCCACATTACAAAATTCAAGCCTTGTGAGCAAGGAATCTACTTGAGCTTAGTTTCTACATGTTTTTGTCTTAACACAGCCTAACCTACTCTTTCTCTCAGTACTTGGAGCCCTCTACAGACAAATGACTAATTCAATTACCTTGTGTGCTGACAGGCCAGCTGGTCTCTGCTTCTTGGCATGGGTAGAGAGTGTAAGTTAGAAATGTCTTTCTCTCATTGTCTTCTTCCTATGCCCTGCCAATAATTTCCACAAAACTTAAAAACTTCACACCCCTTTGTCAAATGGGGTTGAAATGAGCTAGCAAGTTCAGAGGCTGCAGAGTGACAGACAGTGAAAGTCTTGTTTTCTTTGGAAGACAGACTGGGGGAAAAACAGACTTGCAAGGTAGATTTATAGGCTGTATGTATTAAATACGCTCCAACTCCAAAAGTATTGACCCAACTTAACCCAATCTAAACTGGTGCTGCCAGTCCCACCACACCCACAGGCATTCAGTTGTTATCCCTCCCATTGTAACCGGCACTTGTCCAAAAATCAACCTGGGGGAAAAAAAAAAAAGGCAATCAGTTAAGTGTTTGGCACAGGCAGCTCGGGAGCCAGTTCCCTGCCTTGTCACATGGACATCACGTAAAAGGAACGCACGGGATTGTGACAAACGCAGCTGCCATGGTGCTATGCATTCAGTACTACACAGGATCCCATCCTAAAAGCACTTAATACTGGACATAAAGTGCAGAACCTCATTAGTAGCCTATCCAGTAATGTTCTGATGTTAAAAAGCAGCGCACAGGCACTTATGTAGTTCTTATTTTGAGAACAGGAACAAGAAAAAATAAAATCGTGTGTGACAGCTCCGAGGCTGACAGTTTTAGCTGCACTCTGGACAAGATTTTTATTTATTTATTTATTTAAATAACTGCCTAACCTTGTCTTCTTCCTAAAGCCGTAGCCAAACCTGGATGCTCAAGGGGAAAAATAAAATAGCACTATAAGCAAACACAGACATATTTAAATACAGACATCACGCAGTCCAGATTTCTTTTGGGTAGACCATTGTCCCAAAGAAAATGAAAGGACCCGTCTATTCTGTAACCTTCATGCAGAATTCCAAAACCACAGAACAAACCACTGCCAACCCCATTGGTGACCGGGGAGAGATCAGGAGGGAGAAGGTAAAACAGAAATGGCATAGTGTAGCTAGAGTGGCTAATTTAGATGGAGGGAGGTGTGAACAGCAGAACATAAGGCAAAACATCTTGGGAAGTATATCCCGATGACATCTCATCTTGCCTGTACAACACAGTGAGTTTGGGGAAGAAAAATTTGTTATCTGCAATCACAGGGACACAATCACTGTTTATCAATGTATAATATAGATACCATGATTATACATTCATGAGATCTTCTCATACTACATATGTAAAATACATTTAAATGAGAATTGCTTGACAGTATAAATCACAGCTTTGCATGCTTAAAACCCTTATAAGGAACACTTAAGCCCTTTCATGACTTCTATAAAACCATTTTTTTCCTAGTGATCTATTTATTAATAACAGAAGTCATAACTCAATTTTTACCCAGTGGTGAAAACGTAACAGCTGTTACACAGTTGCAAAACACTGTATTTATGCAGCATTAAACAATAAATAAACCTCAAGACCTAGTACACCTTTTACTAAGCAATCTACTTCCATGATATGAAACAAGAAGTTCCACAGATTAACTACGTGCTACGTTAGCAATTCCATTCAATGACATATGTACTTATAAGTGCTGTGCTGTAATACGAAGGAGGAAAGAAATTTATAATAAATAATATTTTTTCTTCATTTAATCACAGCTGCACTCACATCATCTAGTAACTTTTTTAACAGATTTAAATCTGAGTTTAATTGAAACCATTTCCTAGTAACTTACACTGCATTTTTGTGCAGCCTTATTTTGCGATGACCTACATTGCTTGGGAATAAAGGTGAAAAAAGTCACCACTGACTTGTGTGGTACAGTCTAACCGTAATATATTGGTTTATAATTTAGTAGCATTATTCACCATCCTTTACAGTAACAGCCCTGCACAAAGCACTCAAAGTCACAGGTAAAACTGGCACTAGCTTCCAGATATAGTGGATTAGACCTTGGAAGTTCTGAGCCAGGAACAGGAACTGCACTAGAGACAACCCAAATGCAGATGTAATGCTAACGACAAAAGACCCTCATGCCGTTTGATACATTTCTGAGCAAGTCAGACCTAACGCAACTGACCTTCAAAACGCAAGAAAAAACATCCGTAATTCCTGCAATCTGTGGCGCTTGATTTTGTAATAATATTTTGTCATATTTTGGTAGATGGCAATGATCAGTGTAAAAATAACATAAAATTAGGTAAATATAGAGTTCCACAAAGCATCAGAATAATACAAAGAAATTGCAGCCTCATATTTTAAGAGAAAAAAAAAAGTTTCTGCCTGTATCTTTAGCAAATTAATAACATATGAACAGCTTGAGACAAGCCATCCAAGGTAAAACTGAATAATCATAGCATTTAATCCATAAGCACACCTTTCCGGATGCCTTTTAGAAGTTTTATTTTCATCTGTTTAAAAGTAAACTGGGGGGTTGAAAAGAGTGTCTATATTCTGTATATGGAACACTGATGATGAAAATCCTCAGTGCATGTCATTGAGAGGAGGAAGTTCTTTTGGGGTTTTATTTTTGTTGTGTTTTTTTTTTTTTTTTAATTTAATTTTTAAATGTCAATATACCAGAGAAGTCATTTTAATGATACAATTACTGAAGATTTTGGAAGGTTTACACAAGACCCATAATTGGGCATAAGACATCACATCCTCTGGTTATATACACAGCAATCTGGTCCGGGTAACATTCTTTGCTCTGACCAATGGAGGGGGGGGGGAAAGGGGGCGGGGAAAGGAAGAGGAGGGAGGGGACGGGGCGGGGGGGGGGAGGAATGGAGAATTAAAAATACTTTCTCAGATTAAATTTACTTCATTCGCTTAAAATGTTTTGATGGCTTAAAACGCACTAAAACGTTAGTCACGATGCATCTCCGTAGTTAAAATACCTCATTCTCGATGTGATATCCTAGATACTCAAACAAAAGACATTCAGATGACAATGAAGGCGGGTTGGTTTTTTTTTTCCCTTTTCTTTCTTTTTGATTTTAAAAAGACATTTGTACATCTTAAAACTGCACCACGGATCAGTCTCCTTTATCATGCCAGAGTTGTGACAGCGAATGCATGAAAAATTAAAATCCAATCCACCAGATAAGACATGCAAAATGTCTCCTCCAATCCCACCCCCATCTCGCCTTCAAAAAAAAAAAAAAAAAAAAAAAAAGGGAAAGAAAAAAGCCAGCCCTGTACAAGAGGGAGCACACGCACATCGTACCCCCGAGAGCCATCGGAGCCAGGGCTGAGGGGCCGCCAGCCTCTGCATACCACCCCCCCCGTACGCCTGCACTGGCAACCCGGGCTCCATTCGGGGAGGGATCGCACCTCGCCGCTTCCTCATCCCCTCAGACAATGGTGCTTTTCCCCCATTAGCTCCGAATTGTCAACATTTTTACGCTAGGCCCCAGCCCCACCGGCGCGGGCGGACCCGGCGGGCCGCGCTAAGGCGCTGGGGGCCGCAGCCCCCCGCTCCGTTCAAGCCGGCCCGGGGCCGCCGGGTGCCGTGGCGGGGGCAGACGGGGATGGTTGCTGAGCTAAATAAATGGCCGATCAGCCGCGGCCTGCGCCCCCCCGCCGGGCGCTGTAACCGAAGCCCGGGAGCCGAACTGCGCAGCAAACATTGCGCGGCACGGCGGGCCGCGGGGCCCGGCGAGACCCGGGCCGCCGCCCCCGGACACCATTTCGCCGACGGCGGTGAAGAAGGTGCCGGCGCAAGCTGCACCGCCCCCCCTCCCAGGTCCGCAGACCCCCGGGCGCCGCTCCCCCCGCGCCTTCTCTCCCCTCCACCGGCCCCGGGGCCCTGCTTGCCGCTCCCCCAGGGAGGCACCGGCTGGCTTCCCCGCAGCCCCCGGGGACGGGGCGGGGAGTTCGGGGAGGGGTGGGGGTCGTTCGCCCCGTTCCGCTCCCGAGGGGGCCGGTGGCGATCAGCTCCCTCCCTCCCCAGAAGGCGTGGGAGCAGGGACAGGGAAGGGGCCGAGCCCCCGCCTCCCTCCCGCTCGGCGGCAGGGCCCGGCGGCCCCGAGTCGGGGCAGAGCCCAAGCCAAACAAAGCGCGGCCTGAGCGGGAGCCAGGGGGTGAAGCAGCCTGGGCTTTTCCTGCCGGTGCCCGGCCGGGCGCGGCGGGGCCCCGCGCCGCCAGCAAACCCCGCGCAGGCCCCCGCTCGGCGCGGCGGCGCCTGACTTACCCCGATCCCCGGCGGCGGCGGCGGCGTTGTTCCTCTCCTGCTGCTGCTGCACCGGGCGCGGCCTGGACACTCGCCTGGGTCTCCTGTTGGCGGCTCGGACCGAGTTCATTTGCCGACTCGTGTGGGTGGCGGGAGGGGAGGGGGGGAATCCTCCGGCAACCGGTGCCTCGTCGGGGACAGGGGGGAAAGGAGGAAGCCCCGGGGCGGACGCCTCGCAGCAGCGGGCAGCAGGGAAGGAGGGGGGGGGGGGAGAGTCTCCAGGCGCGGGTCCCGCCGCTGCCGCCTCCTCGCCGGCTCGCTCGAGAGGCAGAGGAGCCGCCGGCCGCTGGCTCTCCCGAGCGCTGGCTGTGGGGGACGATCACACCGCGGCCCCCGTCCCCAGCCCCCCCGAAAATCCCTCTCTTAAAGGAGCCCCGCGGTCCTGCCCGTCTCAAGCCCGTCGCTGCTCCGTGGCAGGAGGAGCCATTGACACTGCCAGAGACACACACTCACAGGGAGGCAGCCGCTGGTGGCCGCACTCCGCCAATCACCGCTTCCCACACAGCCGGCCCGCGGTTGCGCGGCCAATCCCCGCACCGCTTCTATAGGGAGCGGGGTGGGGAGGGGCGGGCGAGCGGCGCGGAGCGGGGTGGGGTGGTGGAGCAGGATATAAAGGGTCGGGGCGGAGGGCGCGGGGGGGTTGTGCCGTGTGGGGTGAGGCAGGCGGCAATGGCGGCGTGTGCTGGGGGCGTGAGGCGAAGCCGCGGGAGCCGGCCGCGGGGCCTGGGCCTGGTAGGGCCCCGCGCCGCCGGATCCGCCTGAGGCCAAGGGGGCGGGCCGGCAGGCGGCGGGAGCGAGCTCTGTGAGGGTGGCTCGGGTGCCTGTCACGGGCCGCTCCGCACCGCGAGTGCCGCCGGGGCCGCCGCGGGCAGCCGGCCGGCAGCAGAGGGAGCGTGGCGGGTCCTGAGTGCCCGCGGACCTCTGTGAGGCCGTGTTTGCTGAGGGAGGCAGGTGGCACTGCCTCTCTGTGGGCCGGGTAGCCGGCCTGGAGCGGGGGTCAGCCGTGGGACGTCTTGGGCAGGGGGTACTGGCCTACTTCGGTTTATGTGCACTAACTGTTTCTTCGCTGGTTGGTAACAATTTTTTCACTCAGGGAATCTACCTATTCTTTGGTCAGTGTTACCTTTTGCTGATGTAGCAGTGTACTACCAGCCTTGGGCAAGCCAGATGATTGAAGCTTTTCCTGCTCTATTATGTTTGTCATATAGGTGCTTAATAATTTTTCTGCTTTTAGGCCACAGCTGAAGTTAGCTGTGCTCTTCTTCTTTTACAGAAATTACTTAATAAAATAGATGGCAAGACCCAAGCAGTAAGGAAGGTCTCTTTACAGGGTTGCTTTGGAGCCTGCTTCTAATGCTTCAAAGGTGGGTTTGTGTGTAGTCCTGCTTAAAATGACCCCGTGGAATATGTGGAACTAGGGCTTGTGTCTGCTCCTGAGAACCAAAAGTGTGTTATCTGGTATGAAATGTAAATAAATAGTTGCAATTAAAAATACATTAGGCAGGAGCTTGTTGAAAGCTGACAAATGAAGGTGTAACTATAGAAAATGACAGCTTAAAAAAAAAACAACTTTAGAACCACTTGTTTATTCCTCTAGAGTAAATGATAGTGAAATTGTACTTTTAAATTCATATTGGACCAGAAATAAACGTATGAAAATGCTTACAGTAGCTGTTAAGGAGCATTTCTTACGCTTAGTATTTTGTTTCATTGAGGAATGACTAGAGAAACAGTGGAGGCTTATTTTCTGTGCCTGAGAAAAGCAATTCTTAACATCTCTAGTATCAGGAGAAGAAATAATAAAGGCAAGCACTTGTGAAAAGAACCTCATAGAATAAATATCATCACTCTGCAGTTAGTTTCTGTCAGTTAAAGATGCTGGGGAGGGACTCTTCATTAGGGACTGTAATGATAGGACAAGGGGTAACAGATTTAAACTTAAACAGGTGAAGTTTAGATTGGATATAAGGAGGAGGTCCTTTACTATAAGGGTGGTGAGGCACTGGAATGGGTTGCCCAGGGAGGCTGTGAATGCTCCATCCCTGGTGGTATTCAAGGCCAGGTTGGACAGAGCCTTGGGTGACATTGTCTAGTGTGAGTTGTCCCTGCCCATGGCAGGTGGGTTGGAACTAGATGATCTTAAGGTCCTTTCCAACCCTATCTGTTCTATGCATCAGTAACAATTACCAGGCCAGTGTACTGAACAGAGCTGTACAAGTACGTATCATAAAAATATTTTTCTTCTGATAGCAGCATTGTGAAACTGCTTTAACTCTTGAATGGGAACAGTGACCATATCCAAGAATCTTGCTGAACTTAGTGTCATGGCTTAGGATTTTCACATCATTAAAAACCCACAATCTTTAAAACACAGTATTTTAGTAGTTTAACTGCATTTCTGTGGAATTGTTTTGGTTGTGCTTTCTTTACCAGGATCTAGCAAATGAATTCTTAGTGTCACAAGGCTACCTGAAATTGCTCAATATTGATGTACTCCAAACTTTTAGTACACTTAAGTCTTTGAAAACCTGTTCAAGGATCAAGATGGATGGTGAGCTCATTACCACCTAAAACACGTAAGAATCTAAAGTGTCTAAGACTTGGATAAAATTTTATTGAGAACTTTAATCAGAGCAGGCTTTAGACTTGCTTAAAAAATCTTGAACTAGTTTGAACCCAAATGACCACTTGGCCAAAAAAAATAAAACCCAAACAAAATGCTTATTGTCATTAACTCCTTAAGGGGGTAACTTGTGTTAAGGACATGATGGAGAGAATCTGGCAAAACTTACTGTAACTGAGAAAAATGTGAGAAAACAACAGGTCCAATATGTCATCTCCCAAGTCAGTCTTTAAAAGGTTATACTTAGCCATCCTGTGCCTCTGTTTCTGTACAGCCTCTGGGAGGAAAAGAACTGTTCTATGATGAAAATGACACGGGGAGTCCAAACTAACATTCAGGCTTCATTGTATTGACTGCTGTGGAGATGCTTTAAGCTATCCTGTATGATGTGCTAATAAGCCTTTCCTGAATGTGGGTGCAGTTCATGCTGGCAATATAAGTTTGCCTTTGTCAAGACAGCTTTTTCCTTATTTAAGTTGGGAAGAGAGGGGGTGGGAAGTGGATCTAAACTATACTGTGATTTTTTTGCATAACTGTTTGCAATGTAAATGCTTGCTAGACTGGTTATGTTGGCCACAAATCACCTCTTGGTGACCCATGAACAACTTCACATTATAAACAGAGAGGCGTCAGACCTGGGTAAAGAGTTTGCTTGGAGCATTTACAGCATAAGCAATTTTGGCAGAGTTGTCAAGTGCTAGCTCATCATATTGAGACTATCTTCTAGGCTGCACTGAACTTCAATGTATATGTATTTAAACACTAATGATACTTGATTCTCTGTATGTAAATGGAGAGTTGACTGCTGCTTTGAAGAGATCACCTTCCTTCTTTGTGGAGGAAAGGATGCCACAGAGTGCTTAGCAATAACAACAATAACTTATTAATTATGTGTTAACATAGAATAGTTAGAGCTTTGTAGCTAATGAGGCCGCTTCACAGAAGTAGTGTGAGTTATAGTGAAGGAAATACTGATATAGGGCTTGCCATCTCTTTGTGAGGGTGAAGGGGAGAGGAGCTGACTTGCGCTAAAGGCAGTTAAAGATCTGATCAAGATAGTGGAACAGGTAAGTATTCCTTTTCTAGAGTCTCAGTAGAGAATAGATGAGAGACTAGAGATGGTGGGACCATGGAATAAGTAGGATTGGCAAACGGATGTGGGGCAGTGTAAACTGTTATGTCAGCAAGGCTGCTTCTGGCCAGGGTGAACTCCAGGAATCTACAGTTTTATTCCCTTTAATGTACATACCTACTAGCAACCTGAAAAGCCTTGCTTCAGAGACTGTTAGAAATGCTTTGAATGTGGGACAGCTTCATGTAAATTGTGGTCCTTGTCCTAAGGATATGAGTATTGCTTTAACAGTTGATCAAAACAAGTGTAGGATAATAGATTTTAGTGAATGGTGATCTGTGGATTGCTTCTAAGGGGCTCACAAAAGGTGAGAAAGAACAGACTTCAACTTGTACGTGATGGCCTAAAGCTCTATTTAAAGATTGTTCAGAAACTGCAAATTAGGAAAAAAAAAACCTGAAGAAAGAAACCCCACATGGCTGGCTTGCAGTTAAGTGGAAAATGTGCAGTAACTTTACTGTAAGTTAGTTTTGCTTCCTAATGTTTGTGAGAGAACAAGAAACATTTTGAGGGCATTGTTGCACTTTGTTACGCAAAGCCCGCTGCAGTGCCTTTAGCTCATGGGTTTGACCAAGAAGGACAAGAAGTCAGTTTTTATTGTGCTTTTTAATCGGTTCATGTGGCTTCGCAAAGGAGCCACATGTCTCTCCCTCTCCTTACAGATGAAAGTTGAAGCAAAAAGGGCTGAAATGACTTGCCCAAGAGCATTTACAGGCTATTGACAGGGCCAGGAATAGAACTCAGGGTACAGGAGGCCTTATCTAAGGCTTTCTCCAGTGTCACATTACTGCTTGCAGAAGCATAAGACTTTTGCATATTATTTCTGACCATCTTTTAAGCTGTTAAGATATCCCTGGACTAAGAATACTGCGTTGAAGATTCAGAACTGAATCCTATGTGGACTACTGACTTTAAATTCTTAAACCCGGAGGGTTGTTTCTCAAGCTTAGAAGTGGGCCTTTCAGAAACAGCAATATCTAAAACTGGTTGAACCTGCTTACTTTGCAGCTCACAAATATTAATGCCATTTTGTTATGATTTCTCTGACCCTGACTTCCTTAGTTGTGTTTTACATCCCATATAATGCAGCTAAATCTTCCCACTCTTACAGAAAAGACTTAAATCTCCCCTTCATTTACCTGGGATCCATGTCTCTCGAAATCTAGCTTGATGCTAGCTGATCTTAGTGGGTTGCCTTCTGGGTGAATGTCTGTGGCTGGGATGTTTTCTGTTGCTCTACCAACCTGGTTTCTGCACAAAGAAGAAAGACCTCAGGGTGGGGAGAGGTGTGTTGTTTCCTGTAAGTTCACATGACTATTACAGCATGTTTATCTAACATGTTCATTTTGATTCTGCTCTAACAAAAGTGCTCTGGAAGCCCAAATGGTACTTCATTTCTCAGGTTTTTTTTCTTTTAAATGAAGCTAACTGCTAAAAAAAAAGCCCTGAAGGAATACTGTCTGAGTTTTAAAGCGTTATTGTCTGTCCTGCTATAAACCAGATGGATATATATGCACATCACCTGCCTTCTAGATTTTTTGGGGAGTATCTTCAGAGGAGGAAGAGGGGATATGAAGCCTCTGTCCATCTGAGGGATGTTAACTGATGGGAAAAGCACCCAGTTTTATATTGTTGGGTGCCTAGCAAGGAGGGAAGCACTGGATGGGGAGAGTGGTCCTGTGGGCTGTTAACACAGAGCTGTGGCTGCTGCAGGGCTGTCTCATAGGGTCTAACCCTCTTGGGACCTGGAAGTCAGAAGAAGGCTTGCAGCAGGGCTTGGTATCACACTTGCTTGAGCAGCTTGATGTGTTGTACATGGGAGCATGTGGGAAATGGGGTCAGCAGCTACCCTTGTGTCAATGAAATTTTGAGAAAATGGTATGTTCAGTCCTGGTTATAAATCAGGAGTGTTGAGAGGGCTGGAGCTCAGAGGGACAGGAGCAACAGCTTATACTAGAGATGAAACCTGGATGACAATTTTAAGATAGCACTGGGGCAGAGATGTCACTGTGCGGACCAGCCTATGGTCAGTTACAGGAATTTATGTTGAGGAGCTAGTGTGGATGCCATCTGTGACATGAAGGTGGAACTGTATATTTTCAGCCTTTTTTTCCCAGTGATACCACTGTCCTCCAATGAAGTTGTCAGGCTTGGTCCTCTTGTACTGAATTTAGATGTGTAGTGACAGGACAAGGGGAAATGATTTTAAACAGAGAGGAGATTTAGATTAGACATTAAGAAGAAATTCTTTATTATAAGAGTGATGAGGCATTGGCACAGGTTGCCCAGAGAAGCTGTGGCTGCCCCATTCCTGGCAGTGTTCAAGGCCAGGTTGGATGGGGCTTGGAACAGCCTGGTCTAGTGGAGGGTTAGGCAGAGCCTTGGGTGACATGGTTTAGTGTGAGGTGTCCATGCCCCCATGGCAGGGGGTTGGAACTGGATGAGCTTTAAGGTCCCTTCCAGCCCAAACAAGTCTTATTCCTTGATGCAAAGCTTCATTGCTAAAATGAATTAAAGTGTATTGGGTATAAATCACACCTTTTTACTGGGGACCTGGCAAAATAGCATGATTCTCCTCAATGATCTGTCTAGACATAATATAATAATGAAATATTTTGGCTCAGTGGTTGTCATTCACTAAAGGTTTGTTTCGCATGACTCCTTTTCAAACATGACTGTACAGAGATTTAAAAAGCTTGGGCTGTACACTTGTAGTTCCTCTCAAATCTGTGGCTCAGATTTAGGAAATTTCCCAAATTAGTTAGTTTCTAGTTTCAAATTTGTCTTGGGCTCAATTTTTGTTTCTTGGAGTCTTTTTGTTCTGCTCATTGCATCAGCAGTGTGTCCATATGACAAGTTCTGTTTTTAGAGCTGGGGCTTCCTGCCCCCAGATGTGGCTGGTGTGTATTGCTTATATTGCCTTGGAGAGGATACAGCCTGAGCAGATCTTTCAACATAATGAATTGAGGCCCCTAGTGAGAGAGGTTTACAAGAAGTACATCCAATACCACCAACCGGAAAAATCAGCCGTTTAATACCAAGAGGCTGGAGTTTTATGAGGGCCAGCGTCCAGATTTAGACCTAGCAAAGAGAGAAAAATGGCTTCTTTAGGGAAGTTTTTGGTTCTTCCTTCAAAATCTCTCAGTGGGATTTTGAGCTTCCCATTTTTACAAAGCTCTCATGCTCCTTGATGTTATCCAAGACGGGCCTAGATTGTCAGGAGCAGATAAGGACACTTTGCTTTACCTTCATGATGAGCAGCTAAATCTGAAATGAGCATGAGAAATCCCAGTCTTCATTTTCGATGTGTCAAACTTGGCAGCATTGTAGAGCATCCAAAGGGTGCTTCTTAATAGGATTCAGTATCTCCATACAGAGGAGGGTTGGCAGTGAGAAGCGGTATTTCTTTCAGTCCTGGAGATGAGAAACTGAAAGTGTCTGTAGTCTCTCCATAAGCATGTGACTACATGTGGTACAATTGCCTTCACTTCAAATTGTGAGAGCAGGTGGGTGTAGGAGCTATTTGTATTATCTGACAGTTTTACCCTACTAACAGCTGATTGTGTTGACTGGTGGGAAAGAGTTCTTCACACTGAAAAAGGGAAAATATGAGGAATACTACAGTGCTTTTGGTTTGCTGTCTGGAAGACTAATGCCTTTTAAAATGTCCTGCTCCAAACCTATATCCTGTTCTACCGATGAGTTCTTTAAATACAGAAAGGTTGTGAAATCTCATTTCCATTAACTTCATGCAGAAAAAAGTTTAGCATGTCGTATGTGTGTGTCTTGCCAGTTTGCTCCTTCTAGGTTGGGCAGCTAGAAGAGAGGGGTCTAGGTCCATTTTCTCCATCTCAGTCTCAGATTTCTCAGTCATGGTTTATCTAATGAGTGTGTCGAAAATATCTAGTTATCCTTGTGACTGAAAGATTTCCCTAGAAAGGGTTTTTGAATGTCTTGAGGAGTGTTTTGTACTTAGGGTCTAAACTGTCATTGCTATTAAGAAGCAATCCTGCTCTTCCCAGGCATCTTCTTGCTGCCTTTACCCTGTCCTCTGTTCTGTCAGCTAGCATTTATGCAGCAGCACAGGCTGCTCAAGGAGATAATCTGACTGCAGACTAATCCAGCTGAAAGCACAGCAATTTTTCAGGCACATGTGCAAGTGTTAGCCCAGAAAAGTGGTGGGAAAGGATTGCCCCGGTGTGGTGAAGGAATCTGAACTGCATACAGATTGGCTTACTGTGATTGTGGAAGCATGCCTTCAGCATTTCCCTGGGCCTTCAGGTGAAAACCATCTTTAATTAGATGTTTTACTGGAATGCTCTCAGCAATAGCTGCTATGCTGAAACATCTGTTTTGCTGCTGTTGAAGCACCACGTTAGGTTTCTTGTTTGAGCTATCTGTTTAACCAGGTGGCATTGTGTACTTAAAAGATGACCAACTTGGGATCCCACAAGTAGAGACTTTAATGACTTTAAGCAGTTCATTTCTCTTTAGTGCCACGTGGTGGTGATGTTGGTTGGTGGCTTCACGGAGCTTTGGACTTCCAAAGTGAAGGCAAATGGCATATAAATAGACAAGGAATGTCTTACAGGTCAATATCTATGAATTACTGTCTCCAGTGCTGCATGTTTTTTTCCAGTTATCCACACGGTGGGGACATATTTGCTTCTATTTGTTCTCCGTTTTACATGTAACCATTCCTACACCTCAGCTAGCAGGGTCAGCTAATTGGTGCCAGAAAATATTTTGCTAAAGACAGCTGACAGAATAGATTTTCAGGGTAGCACGCTGCAGGTGCCTACTTTTGAATCTTTGCTTGGCTGTCATCCTAGGTTATTCTAGATCATTTTCCTATCCTATCATTATCACCTCAGTTAAAGGCTTGGTTGTGACAGTTTTGTCTCCACAATGACCCTGTTTCTCTGGTGAGATCTGAACTCTGTTCTCTTGTCCTCTGTAGGTCAGCTGTTGTACTGTCCTCAATGCCTTTCACTGTGGCATTGCTGGTTGAAGCATAGTCTGTCTCAATCCATCTAGTCTAATTCCTGTCCATCTTGAGACTCCAGGACTTTGAGTAAAGGCTGTTTTATATGGAATATTGATTTGTTTCACTTTCAGGATGACAATCTATGTAAAGAGTCTTCGGTATGTATTTGCCACTAACTAGCTAATCTGGAGATGATGGGTGTTTATGCTTGCCAAGGGCAGTGGTGGAGTGGTAGGCTGCTTCCTTGAGGAAGACTTGAGGATTTGGCAGTTGAAGGGAACTGAATGCTTGCATTAGCTGAGTGTGTGGTATATGCCCTATAGGTGTGTATTCTCCAGTCTTGACCATGTATTACTCAGTTTGTGAACATAAATACCAAAAGATACATGACCTTTTCATTATGCAAAGGACAGAAAACCAAGAATTCACACGAATTAACTGATAAAGGGTAACTGTGCTGTGTATGGAAATGCTCTCCTCTCCCAGTTGCCTAAAAGTTAATGTCTTGATCTCATCAGTTTTATGCTGACAAGCAGAGATGGAGAACAGATCCATTCAGAAGATTGTGTATAAATGAAATCAATAGCACTGTAAAATCCTCTCCACTGACTGTTGGTGATGAGCATCAGTGTGATCTAGTTCTCAAATTTATATAGCATAGGTGAATATGTATTTATTGTAAGGACACATTACAAAACTATTTTAAATATATGAAATAAAAGTCTTTTTTTTCTCCACTTGTCTGTGTCTAGTACTACCAACTCCTGTTTACTGTCACTGAAAATCTCATGTATTCTTGCTCCTCAGCTTAAGTTTTTATGACTTGCTTTACAGCAAAGCAGAAGAGGAAAATGGAGAATGAAGATCATCATGTGTTTTCATGGCTCAGTTAGCCAATGATTAGAAGGAAAACTTGAGTTAAGACAAGATGAGCCTAATATTTTAGAGAATTTTCCTATTACGAATGGGATGAAGGGAAGCAATGTCTCTGTGCTCTAAGCTATTGACAGTTGTTGCAAGTGCATGTTTCAGATAGGTAGGCTAGCTGTCTAGAAGTTAGTAAGTTCAGCTTTTATTGTTTGTTTTATAATCTTTGCTTCTTAACAGCTGATCTTTGTCTTCCTTTTTTATCAAATTGACAATCTTATTGTTGTGTGTGATTCAGTGAATGACTTGTATTGTTGCCTGGCAAAACCAGGCTCATCTTGATGCAGGTTGGGGGTTTTTAGACTTACATCTCTGTTGATATCACTACTTGTGTGAACAACTTTCAGTATGGATTAGCATATCTGTTCACAAAAAAAAAAAAGAAAAAAAGAAGTTAGGCATTTTATTAGTAGTAAGTGAATAAAGAGATTCAGTGTTCTGTAGTAAAACTGCATGCCAACATGATGTTAGTTGCAGCAGCCAATGTCTGGCAGTGCTGGGTTGTGGCAGCGCAGTGCTGGGATCTAGCTCTGAACATGTCTGGGTACGTATCCCAGTCACAGAGTTTCGGCAGCCTGGCTGGCTGTCTTGACAGCTATGTTCTATTGCAAGACACTCTGTTGGACTATGTAGTAATGTTATTTCCATGCTCAACCTGTGAGGTGTGGGAGAAAGAAGGTAGCAGTCTGACTTATGAGTCAAATTTTTGGGGGTGTGGAAGAGTAGTCAGTGAAGGAACATAAGAAGATGATGATTGGGGAATGGAATGCTTGGTGTTGGTTTTAATTAGAATCATGCTGTTCATCACTCATATTGTGAGATGAAAATTGAAAAGAACCATTATTGTAGCACACTCGAAGAAATATTTGTATTAGTTAATGAGCGGTTCTAATTGACCTGCCAAATATAATTGAGTTGAAATACAGATCTATTCCAACAATGTTTTCCTTATTGTAGTGTATGAGAGAAACACAGCTGGCATTTTATTTCCCTAATCTGTACTCTAATGACTTTTGTCTAAAATTAATACTATTAATTCAGTATTAAACTTCACAATAATCTGTCAGCCAAAAATTAACCAAGCCCAATCTACAAACCTTTTTCTCATGAGCACAAGCCTTCTTATGCCTCTCCCCTTAAAAAAGTAAAAATGTGACACTTGGATTGTGTTCTGGAAGAGTGACTGCAGTAAACCAGAGAAGGAAGTTGATGGATGACTGGGAGAGCTCAGAGCTGGAGGTTCTGCTGTTTATTGGTGGACTTTGTTCTTGCTGAGGAGGAACCAGCCATTGAACTTCTCTGCTTGTTTTCTCCTAGGTGTGGTGCTGTGACATGGCAAGTGAGGTATGTTCTACTGTCACTGCAACAAGTCATGTAGAGTGACCTATGCTCTAATCTCCCTTCCAGCAGTGCAGACCAAATGAAGTGGCCCATGCTGTTATGTTACATGTTACTACAAATTAGATTAGAATCTGCTGCTCCTGGATTTGTTTAATTAGCTGGCAGTATCATTAACATACTCTGGAGCCTTTGCACTGTAGTGCGAAACATGAAGCACTTTTAAGACTTAAACCTCGCTAAATGAAGGGAAGCAATCAAAGATACACATGTCAAGGGGAGGAGTTGAAGAGGTTTGTATTTGGATTATTCCACATCATAAAACTCAACAAAACTGTTAGGCTAAGTGGGTACAAGCAACCCTTTCACCCCCTCAATTGATACAGAAGACTTTTCTCACTTTGCATGAATGTTTCTACAGACTGCATTTTCCTCTTAACCATTTTTTTTGGCTTCTGACTAAAAAATATGTAAAGAGATGTTCCAGTTTAAGTACTTTGAATTACTATCAAGCTGCCAGATGCCTTACCTAAAAATAGTGGTAGGGGAAAAAAACCTTACATGATTGCTTTCCTTTTCTAAAACACACAGTTATGGTGGCAAGTTTTGACATTGTTCAACTCGGGTCATCAAATTCATATAAGCTATTGTACTACAGTGTAAGGCATATATTTTAGAAGACTGAAAAGTACAGGAAGTTTGATGTGTGAACATAAATTTACTCATCTTTTATATAATGCCTTCTTGAGGTGCTGACGTTTTCAGTACATTAATTGTTCATAATGAATACTCTTGCATGAAACATTTCAAAGGTAATTTTCTGAGGCCAAAGAATGACTAAAAAGTTATTCACTAAAGAGCAGTCAGTCTGTATCCAAAAGAAGACTTATGGGATGTGAAATAAACTGACTTCATAGGCAAGAAGTTTCCCTACATGAAAGAGTCTGCCCTTCTCCAGGTTTGATGCCTTTAAAGAGAAGCTACAGAAGTGGTGGTGGCTGGTGCAGAGGCAAAACTATTATGTTCTGATTATGTGCCATTGAAGGAAAGGGGGAAAAAAAAGCTTTGGGCAAAATATCCAGACCTTCTGTATAAGAAGTCTATCTCTGCTACAGGTAATACGTGATCAATTTTGTGCGATGAGCTTCAGGGTGGACAATACTAATCAGTAAAGATTATACTTAAAAACAAGGAAAATAAAATAATCATGCTGCTTACAGGCAGTAGATTTTAAACAACCTGTCAAATATTTCTTGGCTGTTACAACCTCTCCTAAGAGCTTTTCCTGGTTTGTAAAGAAAATTAATGTGAAATCAATAGTGGTATTTAAAAATTCACCAAATGTTTCCCAGCCAAAGTTTCCCTTTCAGGTGCCACTAATGCAACAGGCAGAGTGGGCAGAAATCACAGACTTGACCTTGATGGCAAACAAAAGAGATTGCAGGTAGAAAGTGTAGCAAAGAAAGATGCTTTCAGAAGCAACCAGGAGGAAGACCTGCTGACTCCCCCCACAAGAGCAAACCTCCAGAGCTGCCATGGGCATCAGCTTGCTGAAGTCCTTTGTTTGGAGATGCAGTCTAGGTGCCATGCTGAATTGCCGCTGAAGGATGCAAACTGGCATAAACAGCTACAAAACATTCACATAATGGTGAAAACCAACAGAAACGCAGTAAAACAAGTTTTCTATTGCATATTACAACCATATGACCTGCTGGACTTCAGACAATGGAGAGCAAATGTTTGCTACTTCAGGTTGCCTCATTCCATTATCCCAGAAGACTTGGGATCATTGTGGAAATGGGAAGAAACAAGGCATATAATTAGATTTGCTTGTTAGTTTACCTCTTTTAATGGAAGGACAAGGAAGAGTAATACAGTACATGGTGATCTTGCAGCCATATATGTGCTTAGGCTACATCTCTGCTGAAGAAGATGCATTGTAGTTACAAGTTGTATGAGTCCGTACTACTGTAATTACCTGCAGTTGCCACATTTGATCTGTGAAGGTAAATAGGATTTGTCAGTATCCCCTCACCTCTCCAGAATAATGCAGAACTGTTTTTCCAGCCTCTCGCATGGGGTTGTTCAGAAATAGCAGAAGAGCAAGCCAGTAGATTTTGGGTGTGGTGGCCTTTCCTGAAAGGCTGATTTCCTCAGCTGCTGGACCCAAGGGTGAGGTTTAGAGAGTGCTCTCAGTATTATCTCCAGACACCATGCCCATGCTTTCTCAGTGGCATTCAAACAGATTATAAATAGGCTGTGTTATTTCTCATGATGATTTCTAGTTTTGGGAGTTCATGTGTCTTACACTTCCCCAAGTTGTTTTTTTCTCTGAACTTCAGAGTTAGAAATTTGTTTTTCTTTTAAGGCTAAAACTCCGATTCACATGGAAGCACTTGACTCCAGAAGCTGCAGCTTCAACCAGCAGATCGGAGAGTCATGATAAAATTGGCAGAATCGTCCTGCTCTAAGCACTTTGAGACATATGCTGCTTTTCCTACTCCTGGAAGTAGTCCCACAGATGTCTCATGATTATTCACTTGAGTCATGGTTGCAGAATTGAGTTTTTGGTGTTTTGGATTCCCAGCTTCCTACCCTGCATATTTGAAGTGCAAATTCTAATAGAAGACTTACCTGGTTTAAAACATAAAAGGTACGTTTTACCAAAACTCAGTGTTTTGAACTTGTATGACATCGCCTCTTGACTTAACATTTGGTCAAAATGAGACACCTCCAAGGGAAAAAGAGGAAAAAAAAAATAGAAATATAAACTGGACGTGGCACACTGCTATTAAAACTTTGGTATTTGTTTATGTGGTTTCCACCAGTGATATTGTTGTAGAGTTAGTCACTAGGTGGTGCTCTCCTACATGGTCTTCTGCCTTCGTCTTGCCAGGGCGTGAGTGGCCCAGGCTGCAAGATTTCAACTGGTGTTTATTTTGGAAGGGAAGTATGGGAGTTTAAAAAGCTTAGACAGCAGCATCTCTTACCCCTTTGCACTGGAGTGACTTTTTAAGAGGAAGATTGCTCTAGAGAGAGTGGGTAGTAGTTTTTGGGCTGAGAATCGTGAAATGAGAGAGTGCCTTTGTGCCATCTCTGCTCCCAGGTTAATGGACTCTTAAGAAACGTGGTGGTGTTAAACCTGTACTTAGGAGCGGTTTAACTCTGTGCTGCAAGGCTTTAATATCTAATGTGTCAACAAATAGCTTTTTCCCAGCTGTGTTTTTAGTGTTAAACAAATGAATTATTAATTTGTATGTGCTGTACCATGAACAGATGTTAGGCACCTGAGACAACTTTGAGTTTTCACTTATTTGCTTTGTCTTTTGAAAATTGATTCAGCTTCATTCTGTCAGGGTATTTTTCCTAGAAAAGGAAAACACATTCCATCTGCAACAGTCCTTTACAGAGGTCAAAATCTTAGATGTGTCCTGAGAAGAGAGATTTAAAGGTTCATTGATATCTGAGAAAGCTTGGTGCTTTCTCTAAATTTTCCACAAAGCTTCTGGAGCATTTGAATCGACTGAGTATAACTTAGTTCAGTTTTCAGGCAAGGAAAGTTGTTTTCTTTTTCCTTGCTTGTAGTATTTTTATGAGAAGTGAGGGCAGGATAGAGTCAGATGGAAGGGGAAAAAACGTGGAGAAATTGCAACGTCAAAAGCTTAAAATCTGCATCGTCGGTTTGAAAACCGAAGACATTACTTGTGTAGCTTTTGCATCTACGTTTCAGGAAGTTTTAGAAATGCCGTTTTTGTTCTTGGAAACACTACATTTATTCAAAGAGGGCTGGGAATGAAAAATATTGATAAGCTCTGCTAAGCATTTTCATATGGAATCTGTTTTCAGCCACATACCAGAAAATGTCTTTGTTATTTTTTTGAATGAGACCCTAATCTTGGAATGACTTTTCATTTATCAAAGCCTTTTAAGTCTGCTATTGTGTTTCCAGTCAGATCCTTTCCAGTCACTTCTTTTTTCCTGTGTCAGCCTCTTGCAAACTCACCATAGGGCAAAGTTCGCAGTTATTTTCCACAGGCACAAGGATTTCCCCTCTCAGGGGTGCACTTGGGCTTTATGCTGTGAAAGCCAAGCACACATTCATGCCAGCTCTAATCGGTTGTGATAAATTTTCTTGTGGTATATTATATTAAATAGTAAAACCTACTGTTTGTGGTCTAACTTGTTAGCAGTTCAGAGGCCTTTGTTTCTTATGCTGCACAGTTAGATGAAATGGCTTAGTGTTTTTTTGCAGCACCGGTATTGGTGTCTCGTTGGTGTTTTTATTAAGCTTCTCGCTTCAACAATCATTTAATCATGTTAAAATACTGCTTTCTAGAAAAGAAAATTTTGGTATCTGCAGTTGAGGAGTTAGAAACTGTGAGTGCAGCGTGCCAAAGGAAAAATAATTGACTCTTCTTTAAAATTTCACAATTCTCCCTTTTTTTTTGGGGGGGGGATTGAGGAATTAACAATATTGTAGCATTTAGGTTCTCTGAAATGTATCTATTCTAACTTGTTCCAGAGTGTTCAAGTTTATTTTCATGTATTTTATAGGCAAGAAGCAGCTGAAATTCTCTCAGGGGTTGAAAAAAGAGCACAAACCCTGTTTGTTCTCCCTTGATTCGCTTCAGATTTTATGACTCTTGGTAGCAACAAGGATTTGTTTTCATATCCTTGACTGAAATTTCCACCTGCCCATCCTTCTGCAGTGAGGATGTGCCAGTTGTCAGCTCGGCTGCCGTCTCCCAGGCTCCCACAGCTGAGTGGAGCTTTTCACTGGTCTTGGAAAGTGCCTTGCAGTCCCTTCAGATTAGAGACTGATGTTTGGGCTGTAGCAAGCATGCTTTTGTATTTCTCACTGGGCATTCGTTGCCTTCAGCTGGAGCTGAGGAGACAAAGTTGCTTGGCTGTGTCAAATAATTGCCTATAACAGGAGAGAACTGAGGATGCATGGATTAAAACTGACAAAGCTGTTCTCGTTAACTATACCATAGGCTCACATTCCTAGAATCCCAGACTGGTTTGGATTGGAAGGTACCTTAAAGTTCATCCAGTTCCAATGCCCTGCCACTGGGTAGTGACACCTTCCACTAGACCAGGTTGTTCCAAGCCCCATCCAACCTGGCCTTGAACACTGCCAGGGATGGGGCAGCTACAGTTTCTCTGGGCAACCTGTACCAGCACCTCAGCACCCTCACAGGGAAGAATTTCTGCCAAATGTCTCATCTCAATCTCCCCTCTGTCAGGTTAAAACCATTCCCCCTTGTCCTGTCCCTACAGGCCCTTGTCAAAAGCCCCTCTCCAGATTTCTTGTAGCCCCTTTAGGCACTGGAAGCTGTTCTAAGGTCTCCTCAGAACCTCTTCTCCAGGTTGAACCAGTCCAGCTCTCTCAGCCTGTCTCCAGAGCAGAGGTGTGCCAGCCCTCAGAGCATCTCTGTGGCCTCCTCAGGACTTGCTCCAAGAGCTCCATGTCCCTCTTGTGTTGGGGGCCCAGGGCTGCATGCTGGACTACGAGGGGGGGGGTCCTCACCAGAACAGAGTAGAGGGGAAGAGCGATGTTCTACCAGGCATCAGTGTAAAAATTTGATCAGCTTGTTCAGGTGGGCTGTGCTACCTGTTGGAAGCCAATAAATGCCCACATCACAAAATGAAAGCATGGGCAGGAAATCCAGCAATTCTGTGCAAGTTTTGCTTTGAAAGAACCAGCCTCATCGGAGTCAGGTCTCTGGAAAAGTAT